CGGTTGAGTGTCTGACTTCAGCTCAGGTCATGATCTTGCCGTCAGTGAGTTCGAGCCCTGCGTCAGGCTTTGTGCTGACAGCTCGGAGCCTGGAGCCTGCTTTGGATTCTGTTTCCCTCTCTCTCTGCCCCTTCTCAGCTCTCTGTCTTTCAGAAATGAATAAATGTTAAAAATTAAAAAAAAATTTTTTTAAAGGGTGGTGCAGGGAATCTGCGTGGAGCTGGGCAGACAAGGAAAAACTCCATCTGCAGCAAAAAAGGGAAGCGGACAAATTTCTGCTATAAATGAACACCCGCAGGCCCGTTCTCACGAAGACTTGGTTTGAATTTATTCTACGTGCAAGATGAAGGCTTAACATGGCCGTTGGTTCAAAGTGTCTTCAGTTGCCTCCCGGGAATGAAAGCAAATGCAGGGAAGGGGAAACTCGAAGCCCAGAGCACACCGGATTCCCACCAATTAAGCTCTGACCAAGGGGACGCACACAATCTGAAATCACAAAACACGCCGGGAAATGGCATCATGACTAAGTTGGCAGAAGGGACGACTATTATTACCCCGAGGTTAGCGCTCCAGAGACTTGGGTACACACCGTACGTTATAGCACCCGAAGATATGGTAAAATAAGGCAAGCCGTTTTTGAACGTTTGGCCACTCATAGTGGCTGGCGCTGCGTCCAAACTTACAAGATTTTTGCTTTCCACACCCGTTTCCTTTTATTCAACGTAAACATTTGTAACCTGAGCGTGAGCTGTGTAGAGGTCCGCGCATCCTGCCGCTGCGCGTTCTGGAGAAGCGAGTCAGACGGCACAGCTCAAATTCAAGGTGTGGGGTTCATGAGATGTATAACCTGGAGCCAGGTCCTCGACCTTCGCGTCCGCCCCTCGTCTCTTTATCTGTGAAATGGGGATAATAAACCGCAAGCTGCTGGGGCGCCTGGGGGGCTCAGTCGGTTCAGCGTCCGACTTCAGCTCAGGTCGTGATCTCGCGATTCGTGAGTTCGAGCCCCACGACGGGCTCTGTGCTGACAGCTCAGAGCCTGGAGCCTGTTTCAGATTCCGTGTCTCCCCCTCTCTCTCTCAGCTCCTCTCCTGTTCATGCTCTGTCTCTCTCAAAAATAAATAAACTTAAAACAAAATTTTAAAACCCACAGCAGCTGCCTTAGGCTCTCCCATGAGGAAATCCAACGAGGAAATGCCAGTGGCCTGCAGGGTGCCTGGCACGTAGTAGGCTTTCTATAAAACAGTAGCTATTGTGAGTGCTCGAAAATGAAAATCGAAATGGCTCAAGCTCAGGTCACCTAATGGTTGGATTCCCTACTTGGGCTGAATTCTGGAATCTATAGCATCCCTGCCCTTCCAGCTGGAGCTGGACCCTTCACTCCGCTGCGGGATGGGAACCATTCCTCCCGTTTTCTGGAAACGCCTCGGACACGAGGCTGTTGAGCAGAGCCCTGGGGGTAGCAAATGGGAAAACTACTCTCTGCAAGGGGCATGCACGCCCCTGCATCAGGGCTGTGCTTCCAGGCCCCCGCGTGGCCTCTCTTCCCTCTCCCCTCTACCCCCCACCCCTCCCTTTCCAGCTGCTTCTGCTAAAGCACACTTCTTCTCAGGTTTCTTGCTTCCCTCCTGCGTCCTGCCTTCCCCTCCCCCGCCAGCCTTGAGCCTCCGCTTTCCACACCCAAATAGTCTATCAGGATGTTCTCCTGCATAAAAAACCAGACCTCTGCTTCTAGCTTTTAAATTGACATCGTCCTTGACTGCTCCGTATTTATTGAGCACTGACTGTGTGTCAGAGGGCCTATGGGAAGGGCTGGGCCCGCACAGACAAATGGCAGGTGCCATCTTGACCGTGATGACCAAGCTGTCCTGTTCCTCGGCTCCAGTCCCAGCCCCCGGGGGCCTGGCCTTGGCTCCTCTTTCTCTGGGCACACCTGACGGACACGCCGCAGGAGCCCCCCCCCCCCACGGCACCCCTGCGGACTCGGGGCACAGCCCCGCACAGCCCCTGCACAGTGTGGCAACACAAAAGCACACACTCTCACACACACGTCCGTTCCATGCTAATTTTCGCCTTTGATGGAGGCCTCTAGACTGTCATCACCACTCAGTGTTGACAAAGCAAAATAAAAAATAAAAGGAAAGAAAGAAATCCACCCTGTCATTTGGACTCCCCCCACAGCCCCCCGCCGGGCTTGGCAGCCCCCACCCCCGCCCCCGCCTTTGTATTATAGGTTTATGTCAAGGTATGTTGGATTCTAAATTAAATGTCAGCCCACTGTACATTTCTGGCTCCAGCCGCAGAAAATGAGGAGCCGATGTTGGAGACCATCCAGTTGTTCAGCTCTCCGTGCCTAACAGTGAGGGGTGACAAGCCCATTGAATCACTGCACAGTAGCTTTCCAGGCCACGGGAAGCCAAGATAAATTTATTTTTAATGATAAATGTGACTGTCAGAGTTAAGTTGAAACAGCTTTACAGCAAGAGCCCGGTGCCCTCCGCTGCCTGGGGCAGAGGCTGGGCGGATGAGGGCCAGGGGTCCTGACCTCTTGGCCAGGCAAGCCCCCGGGCCCCACGAGCCAAGCACATCTGACATTCCACCCACGTTCATGGAGCCGCTGCTGAGACATCACTGGATGGCTCAGGCCAGCTTAGATGACGAAGAGGGCAGAAACTAGGGACAGAGAGATGGGTGGCAGTGAAGTGATCTGGGTGCCAGTTCTGGCCCCATCGGCTGCTGGGTGATCTTGACCGAATTACTTCGCCTCTCTGAGCTTCAGTTGCCTCATCTATAAAATGGGGGTGTTGGTTTTTGGTGGGGAGCACATGACATAAGATATGCTGTTAATGAGCGGGACTCAGCACACAGACCGTGCTTAGCGAATGGTAGTTATTCATCCTATCATTGTATGTAACTTACTTGATCAGTTTTCTCATCCATAAAATGGGGGTTACAAGATCTCCCACTTACAACGGTGGCCAGGGGGATGCAGTGTGCCTAGCACGGAGCTGAGCGTAGAAACGATGCCCGATGGGTTGCAGCCAATCCGAATGAAGGCCGGCGCCCTGAATGTGGTCACTCGATCATCCTGGCCACTTTCTTCTTCATCGGCTCTCTTCCTGTCCGTTCCTCCAGCACTGGCATGACTAACCGCCCTGTACCCACTCCCTGCTAAGGGAGGTGCCCTGCATCAGGACCCCAGCGGTCATGCCTCCATCAGACTATGGTGGGCACCGGGCCGGGGGCGCTGTTAGTGGCCAGCTGGCGATCCACAATTGGACATGTGCTCGCTCAGAATGATGAGCAGGATGGATCACAGCCTTTCTCTCTGGAATTTAAACTAAAAACCCCGGACAGGGGGTTTCCGTTAGTGGGACCATCACATCCAGGTGGCCACGGGCAAAAGAATGTGGAATTGGCGACCCATAGGGAGGAGGGTAAGCGGATGCACCGGGAGTGGGGAAAGATGCCGGGGCAGCCTGGGGTCCGTGCCAGGCACCCTGGGTTCCTACGTTCCCGAGGTCCTGGCCGGTCCCCAGATGGCCTTGACCCACCCGGGCCAGTTGAGCACCCCTGCTTCCCTGGGGCTGTGAGGACACCAGCTTTGTCAAAAAGGGTGGGGGCGCTGTCCCCCTCTGTGAGGTCAGCTTTGATTGTTCTTACGCAGATCTCGGGGTCAATGGCCTGAGGGTGGCCTCCCCTCTCCCCCAGACACCGAGTATGCCAGGTGACTACAGCGTGTAAAGCACTGAGGAAATGCCTGCAGGCTCATGCCAGAGTTGCAGCAGGTCCGATTCTTCTCCTGGGGTGCCGAGGGGGTGGTTAGGTGAAGACCGTCCTTGATGCACCTCCTCACTGCACCCCTTCAAGGGCAGGAAAGTGGGGAGCCTGGAGCCTAGCAGGTAGACAACCTGCGGCAAGCAGTGCCAGGAGGAGCCGCTAGGTGGCGCCCGCTCACCTGTCCACCGGTCCTCCCGCAGGCCTGAGAGCCCATCTCCGGCCAGCACCCTGCTTGCGCCTGCCGGACCCGCCCATTGTCACTCTCCATTCTCTGCCTTTGCTGTAATGCCTTCTTCCCCAGCATCCAGACAGCCCTGCCGGCAGGGCCTGGCTCACGCCTCTCCTTCTTCACGGTGCTTTCCCTGCCCACTCAGAGCACATGTTCCCAACCTCTGCTGACCCTTAGCACCACCACTCTGTTCTCAGATTCTCAGTTCGGGGTCCCCCGCCCACCTCCCCGGGTGATCTTTCATCTCTACGTAGACACACCTGGAGTTTACCTCCTCTCCCCAAATCGGCGTCACAGACTTGCCGTCGCAGCCACATGCCTGCAAACTTGACGATTCCCCACCCAGGGGGGTGGGGGGTCCTGATTTCTTTCAGTGAGGAAACTGAGGCTGCAGAGGACAGAAAATCTGCCCAAGGTCGTAGCAGGAAAGTTTGAAATCTGCTCAGGGGCTTCCATGAACCTTCTCTTAGAACTTCACAAAGAGCCCTTCCACGGGGGTGCTGTTCATCTTTTGGTACACATGGGGAAACTGAGGCTCAGAAAGGAGCAGTAGCTTGCCCCAGGTCACACAGCCAGGGCTCTGTGCTTTCCGCCACACCCCTCTGCACACGCCAGACGGCCCCCTAGGTCACCTGCCAATTCCTTTAACCCACAGGAGAGGGGGCCGAGGGGGGGAGGGGAAGAGGGGTGCAATTAGGAAAGAGCCTGGACTCCACACAGGCCCCCCGGCTCCGAGCCAGTGCTGTGGGATCCTCTCCAGCAACCTAGGCAGCCTCCCTGTGGGGCGCAAACCCGGTGGGGCAGCCGCGGCCCTGGACGGTAGAGGAGGCTGCGCACAAACAGCTGGCGGGTCGTGAACCCAGCTGCTGGTGGGTGAGTGACAGTCGCTCAGACGGCCTGGGGGCACGGGGTCCCCGGACTGGCGCGGCCTCCACCTCCAGGCAGCCTGCATTGCCTGCGCGGGGCGTGGAGAGGGGCCGGGAGAGGGACGAAGATGGGGCGACAGACTGGCAGCCAGTGGGGAAGAGACGAAGACGGTGCCAGGGAACAGCGTGGCGGGCCAAGGCTCCCCGGGAGCCGGAAAACAGCTTTGGGGAGAAGCGGGGGGCGGGAAATGGGGGTGTCTACTCCGAAGCTGGGGGAGCCGAAGGGATCGGGATCGAAGAAAGGGGGCGGGGGAGGGCAGCCGGCTGGGCTCCCGCGGCGGCCTGGGGAGGGGGCGGCCCGCAGAGAGGGCGGCGTCGGGCCGTGTGGGCGCCTCCCGGTCAGAAGCCACCATAGCGTCTCGTTAACAGCGCAGATTAGGGACTTTGTCAATTACCGCCGAAGGCTGCGCCGGGCGGATTAAACGCTTTTAAAAGTGCGGCTGGTGGGAGGGGGCGACTAAGAAGCCCCCCTCCCGGCACAAATCCCTCCTCTCGGGGGCAGAGGAGGCGGCGGGGCCTGAGACGGTGCGGGGCGCGCCGGGGGACGCGGGCGATCGGCCGGGAGCGCGGGCTGCGCGCCGAGCGGCTCATACTCGCGACCGCGGCGCCGGCGGCTGCGGCGGCGCAGGGAGGCGTCGGGCCCGCTCTCGGCCCTCGAGCGCCAGGATCCAGGGCCGCGGACTCTGGCCGGAGGCGCCCCCAGGCCGGCCTCGCTGGTGGGGATCCGGAGAGGGAGGTCCCAACGGCTTGGGACTCCAGGACGGGGCGCACTTGCCCGGCCGGGGTCCTCGGAGACCCGCAGGGGGCGCCCTGCGGCCGGCCCCACCCCCGGCCCCGCGGGGGTCTCCGTGCGCCCCGAGGGAGCCGGCGGATCGCGGCGCCGCGCCCCGGAGACGCCCGACGGTCGGGCAGGGGCGCCCCGTGGGCCCTCCCGGCGCCGCGCCCCGGGCGCAGGGTGAGTTGGCGCGGGTCCGGCCGGGGAGGAAGTTTGTGAGGAGGAGCCGTCGGGGGTTCCCAGGCCCCTCCGGGAGCCCGCTGCGGGCGGAGGCGGAGGCGGGCTGCCCGCGGAGGTTTGCGGCCTCCCTGCCGGGGCCCCGGGGGCCTGGGGCCGGTTCTGCCCCTTTAGCTGGGCGTTTTCAGAGGTGGAGTTGAACTATCGCAGGCCTCGTGTGTGTGTGTGTGTGTGTGTGTGTGTGTGTGTGTGTGTGTGTGTGTGTGTTAGACACAGAGAGGGAGGGAGGCCGGGGGGAGCAATAAAAGGCAAAGAGAGTCCGAGACAAAAAAGACACGGAGATTGAGAAGGAAGGAGGGAGGAGGGAGAGGAGCGCGCAGGGGGAGGCGCGGGAGCGGGGAGCGGGGACGGCGCGCAGCGCGAGCGGCGGGCGGGCTGCTGTCGCGCTCCCGCTGTCACCCGCGCACCCCGCGCACCCCGTCCGCAGCCGCGCACCCCCGTCCACGCGCCGCCGCTGGCCCGGGGCGCCTGGCGCGGGGCACCGAGGCGCGGATCCGGCGGGCAGAACGCGCGCAGCGCCCGCGCCCGCGCCCACCTCGGCGTCTTTGCGCTCCGCAGCGGCGCGCCTCGCCGGGCGCCCCCGCCAGTCCTGCCGGAAGATGGTCAATGACCGGTGGAAGACCATGGGCGGCGCTTCCCAACTTGAGGACCGGCCGCGTGACAAGCCGCAGGTACACGCGGGCCCGGGGCGTGGGGACTTGGGGCCCGCGCGGTTGGCGAGGCGGTGGCCGCTCCGGCCGGCGGGGCGAGCGCCCAGCTCGAGGCTGGAGTTTGGGGTGCACCCCGCGAGGCTCGGGAGGCCTGGGGCGACGCGGGCGCCCTCCTGCCTCCTCCTCCAGAAGAGGCTTGAACTTGGGGTTCGGGGTGCGGATGGGAGCAGCACCCCCGCAGGAGCCGCGCGCCGTGGGAGAGGGCCCCCTTGCGCCTCCAACAGCCTCCCGGTGCGCGCGTGTGCACAGGGAGTAAGGGACCTATCGGCCACACGGTGGCCAGCCTTTTAGTTAACTGTGGGACCACACACATCACGCCCCTCAGTGTTTCCTCACCTCTGCAATGGGCATCTCAATCACTTGCTAACTCTCCCCCCTGGGCACCACCCTGTGCCAGGTGCCTGCCAGGGTGCCCATCCCCTGGGTCTCCTCTGAACCCTTACACTTTAAACAGCTCCCCACCCCCCTTCAGTAAAGGATCAGTGAATATTTGTCTCATGCGAGAAGCCCAGATATCATGAGTCTTCAGCTCTAAGGCAAGGAAAGCGAGGCTCGGAGACAGTTGCTTCTAGAAGCCAGAGGCCTGGAGGCTCTGCTGAGATTTGAACCTGGGTCCGAGGTTCCAGGCCTGTTCATTCTGCCCTTCCTGCTGCGTCTTCAGGGGCAGTGGAGGTGTGCCTGGGGCTGTGCGCTGGAAGGGGGTGAGGGCAGAGCTCCCGGGCTGGCCAGAGAGGGGGGCCGGAGCCTCGAAGCTGAGCGGAGGGACAGCCCTGGGGCTGCCCCGGGCCTGGCTGCCAAGGGACTGGGGCAGGCAGGCACATGAGGAGGCCGGCGGGCCAAGGAGAGGAGATAATGGGGCTGCCCGTTTTAAATTTCAAATTTCTCCCAGACAGATGTCATTGGGGAAAGAGCCGTTTGTGTTGGCAGTGGCAAGAAGGGGGAGGCAGGGGCGGGCCTTGACAGCCCCCCCTCGCTCTCCAGGGCTGCAACTTGCTGGTGCTGTCTGGACTGACAGTGGCGGGGGGGGGGGTGGCAGCCCTCTCCAGTTTGCAGAGCTCCTTCCCGACCAACTGGACAAGCTCGCTTCGTGCTGCAGCCTGGGGGCAAAGCAGAGATGCACATTCCCACGTCGCAGGGTAACATGGCTCAGAGAGGTTGAGGCATGCGCGCCCAAGTCACACAGCATGTTAGCAGGAGAGCGAGGATTCGAACCTGGGTCTGACCCCGGCGCCTCCCAGTGCCTTCGAGGTAGTCTGTTTCTTTGTTCTGGGCAGGTGCACCCCCAAGCCAATCCCAGTCTGTGCTGAGATCTGACTTTTTACCCTCTTAGCAAGAGCCGTCTTACCTCCTAGACTCGTTCAAGGCCATCCCCGGCCTGACCCATTCTCCCTTCCCATTACCCCCTTGCCAGGACTGACTGCTTGTCCTTTGCCAAATCTGAGTCCCACACTAGGCTGCCCCTTTCCAAACCTTTGCAGTCTTATCTTGGCTCCTCCAAGATCTACACACACACACACACACAGCCTTTTGCTCAGGGAAATCCTGCATGTGCTTCAAAACCTACTCAGACGCCACCTCCTCCGGGAAGCCTCCCCTGATGCTCTGTGGCTGGGCCTCAAAGTCCCGGTAGCATTTAGCTTATGCTGCTCAGCTGCCTTTTTCTCACTGCCTTGTCCCCCAGCCCCAAGTCCCTCCTCTATCAGGGGCTCCCTTTGGACACGTGCTCTTTCTGGGTCCCCGTCTCTAGGTCCTCTGCCGGCCCAGGCTCCCGCCCTTCCACGCAGCTCAGGTTGGGAGCTTAGGGATATTTGCTGAATTGAACTGCGTGGAGCAGCCAGGCGCTGTGGGTGAGGAGCCAGCAAGAGCTGCCGGGTCCCCAGGGGATGCGGCTTCTGGGGCGGATCTGTTTGAAATGGGCCTTCAGGGCCTCCTCCCTCCGCTGCTGCCTGGGGACACGTTCCAGCTGCCACCAGCCAGAGCCCACCTGTCTGCCCCTTGGCATCAGAGGCAGCTGAGGGCTTGTGGCCCCTGGAGCCTGGGCGGATATCAAACACCACCCCCCTCCCCACTCCTTTGGTGACCTAGCAGTGTAGACCAAAGCATGGGGATGAGGTCTGGGCCAGCCCCAGGCTTATGTGAAGGTTCAGATAGGAAGCAAGGCCTTTCCCGTGCTCACTCTGCCGTCCTGGGTCCCCCTCCACCTGCTCGCTCAGGTCTGGCCTCCCTCCCTCCCTTGCTTCTAGGTTCATCTCGGCCGCTGACATGCTGTGTGGCTCTGGGGAGGTGACTCCCAGTCTCTGGGCCTGGGCTTTACCAACTGCAAGTTGAGAGCAGCAATTCCTGCTTCCTCCCCCCACACCAGGGCTCTCAGGAAACCCCCGGGGTGTTTTTGCAAACCGTAAAGCTCCGCTTCTCCGTGCCGAGGGTGGTTCTCACGGCAGCCCGTTCCGTCTCGCGTGTCGTCAGCGTCCTGACCTTGCCTCTGCCCACCGGGTAGAACGATCTGGCTGCCCAGCTCCCGCCGGCAGGGTCTGGCTGAGGGTCTTGAACGGGACCCTTCCTCCAGGAGAGGAGGGATGCGTCCCTCGGTGCCCCGGCTGCCCTCATCCTCCGCATGTCTGGTCTCACGCTGGGAGGTTGGCAGCAGGGACAGTCCGCCCATTTGACAGATGAGGAAACTGAGGCTGAGAGAGCCAGCGCTGGGAACTGCCTCCCAGGTGGCAGAAGAGCCTCGGCAGGAGGACGGAGGGAAGAGCGGCCGGCCTGGCCTCGGTCAGCCTTCCCGGCGGCGTGATGTGAGTCCCGGGGAGAGCGCGTCTGGGCTGCGTGGTTCCCGGGGCCACGGGCCCCACCCGCCGCCGGCAGACGGTGCCGTGTCGCTGTCCCGGGGACCGCCTGAGCCTGCCCTGCCCTGGGCCTGTCGGCCCTGGCTCCTCCTTTGCTGGGTGACCTTGGACAAGCTCCCTGCTCTGTTCGAGTGACCCTTCTCCCCCTGTAGCACGAAGGGGCTTTCACACCCTTGGGGCAGGAGATGACCGTGGAGTATTCGCCAGAGTTGGGAGTTTGTCAGATGAAAGGGTCTAGGAATAGACGCGATTCTCTTCTCCTGGAGCGTGGGGGGCAGGAAGTCACCCTGGGCAGGGGTGGGTAGGAGGGGGTGGGAAGGCTTTCTGAGCGTCCTCGGGTCACGCCGCCCCCGGGGAGGTCAGCCTCGGGGGTCCCAGGCGGCCTCTCTTGATACTTTCCCAACTTCCCCAATGTGGCCCGAAGAAAAAGGTCCCATTGGGCAGTTCTTCCTCATGTCTAACCTAAACTCTGCGGCATTTGATTCCCTCCGTGACTCTTTCCGGAGTCTCTACCTCGGCTGGGATGTCCAGCCAAGAAACTTGCTTAGAGTCTCATGAGGGGAGCAAACCCCTCCCAAGTGGGGTACTGTCACAAGGCGCTACAAGGAAAAGCGACCGTTTTTTTGTTCCCTGGGGCTTGGGTCGAGGTCACTGTGCTAGGCAGGGGCTGGGAGAGAAGGGGGGGCGTGACGGGAGGAGGGGCCCAAGGGGCCACAAGGCAAGGACTCCCTTCTGGCCGCCCCGCCCCGCAGAGCTGCCATCTAGCCCAGCAGGGTGGCTGCGCCCCGAAGGCAGGGTGGGCGTGCAGAACTGGGTCCCAGAGGGGGTGACGGGTTAAGCTGACCGGTGCTTGCCGATTGGTACTGGAGGGGGACCCGGTGTGTTGGGAGAACGGAAGGAACCAGGCAGGTGCGGAGAGCTGGGGGTTCTAAGCAGAACCTTCGGGAAGGGTCCTTTGCGGCTTTGTGGGGAACCGGTTGGGGGAGGCTGGGAGGTGGCGGGGACACCGTCACAGTGATTTAGAGGCAGGTGACGGGGCTCAGACCGGGGCAGGGCTGGGGGCACGGGGGCAGAGCCAGGGGGCTGGCTGGGTGGCGGCGGGGCGCCGGCGTGGCGGGGCGACGGCCGGGTTGGTGCCGCCCTGGTGGGGATCCCCGGAGCGCTCAGGCTGGGGGGGACGGGACCTGGTTTGGTGTCGGTGGGCCCGGCGGGCCATCCGGGAGGCCAGGGGCTGTGGGGGCGGGGAGGGGGGAACGAGACCCTCCCTGGAAGCATATGGAGACGCCCCCCGCCGCCCCAGAATGGACGCAGAGCCGAGCGCCTCCGAGGAGTGGCAGAGGCTGGGGACCTTGGGAGGGGTGGCCTTGGGCCCTCTCCAGGCCCTGTCCCTCTGTCCCCGTCAGCCCCTCCCCCAGGACCTTCCAAATGGCCAGAGGCCTCAGATGTGTTATAATGGAAGAACCAGCCCCTGGCTCTAGGGGGTCTCTGCGACCCCCCCTCCCGCCACCCTGTCCAGCCAGGCCCAGGGTGGCAGACTTAGCCAAGCAGGAGCCGTTTGCCCGGTGGTGGGAGCAGGTGCCGGCTCCTGGGGAGAGGTGACGGGGGCCCCCACCCGCAGCTCTGTGCCTGAGACCCCTGCCGGCCCGGCCCCCGCACCGCCCGCCCCTGGTCTTCCCAGTCCAAAGCTCCGCTCTGCGGTTCCATCATGATGAACGGCCATCTTGCCTTTGGCTGGGGGGCTCGTGGGAGGTGGGGGGCTGTTCACTTGGATCCCACCTTGCCTGACCTCCTCCTGGAGGGACAGTTTCTTCTTCCTACTTTGATACCGGAGCCCAATCTCTGTCTACTGCAGGGGCTCCCGCACCGGCTCCCTGAGCAAACAAGGAAGAAGATGGGGGGGGCGCGTAGGAGGGGCACGGGCCAGGCATGTGGGGCGAGCAGGGCGTCGAGCCACTGCGTCCCTTCCTCTTGAGCCCTCCTTTCTGCCTCCGGACCCCATGGCCCCCTCTGGAGGCTGGGGACACAGAGGAGGCAGCCCGGACGGACGCCACCCTCCCCTGAGGCACCTCTGGGGTCCCCTACCTCCTGCCTCCCCAGGCACCAGCCCATCTGGCCCTCCCCTCGGCCGCGGCTTCCTGGCCAGCCAGCCCTGGGGGCCACGCGGGGGACGAAGCCACGTCCCTGCAGCTGGGGGCTCACCGACGCGGCTAGCGGCAGAGCGGACCTCGAACCCGGGGCTCTCAGGCCCGCCGCCTGGGATGCCTTCCCGATGTCCGCGCTCCCTGTGCGGGGAGGCGGGGGCCCTGTGTGCCCTGGAGGCCTCCCGGGACCCGGGGTGTGCACCCGGCTCGGACACTGCCAGGGGCTGACGAATCAACTCTAGCCCCGCCGCGGGCTCGGTTGGGCCGCTCGCCGCGCAAAGCCCCCTTATCATCTCGGGCAGATTTCTTTGCGAAACACGTCAACAGCAGCCTATAAAACCGAACAGGACTTCATGTTTAAGGTGATCTCAGAAGACTAATTCTCCTCTGCTGAGTGGCCTGTTTCATCTCCAACCCCGTCACCCCCTGCCCCCCAGGGGACCCCCTGAGGCTTTCTCTAGCCTCTCCCTCCTCTGCACCCACTGCCTTCCCTGTAATGACTGGGGGCTTGGGTGGAAGCAGGTGTGAGAGACGGCGAGGGTCCTGGAGACGGGGGAGAGGGGAGGGGGCGGGGGACTCTGCCTTGCCAGCCGGGGACCTTAATGCCGTTCAGTTGGAGGACGTCGCTCAGAGCTGCTTGGGGCAAGGTGTCTCCCCGTGGACTCCGGGAGGGGCCCGACTTGCTGACGCAGAGCTTTGTGTCACAAACCCCAGTCACACTCCAGGCCGAGGAAGGAACGTTGTGGGAAGACGTAGCCACGGCACGGACGGTCTGATTCCCGTCACCGGCCCTGGGATCAAATGCTGGCCCGACCGCTCGCCTCCTGTGCGACCTCGGGAAGGGGTCTTCTGCTCTGGGAGCTTTTCCCGTCTGCCCAGGGAATCCAGCCAGAGAAGGAGCCCGGGGTTCAGGGCTCAGCACAGAGGTCATGAGCCTCCAAGCACAGTGGCTCCCGGGGCCGTCACGTCGTCCCCTTTCGAGCACAGTCACCGAGAAGCGGCCTGGTCCATCTGCTCTTCCTCCGATCCCTCTACAAGCAGCCGCTCGGTGCCCAGCGAGCAGGCCTTGCCCGGGGGGGCTCTCGTGGTCCAGCCTAAGTCTCCTGGGCCCCAGACTTGCTGCCCCAGCTCTCAGACTCCGATTTAGGCCCCATGTGGGTTAAGAAGCACAGTCCGTGGGGCACCTGGGGGGCTCAGTCGGTTAAGCATCCGACTTCCGCTCAGGTCACGATCTCATGGTGCACGAGTTCGAGCCCCGCCCTGGGCTCCCTGGCTGTCAGCACAGGATCCTCTGTCCCCCTCTCTCTCTGCCCCTCCCCTGCTCTCACTCTCTTTCCCTCAAAAATAAATAGACATTAAAAACATTTTTTTAAAAGAATCAGAGTCCATGAGACTTGGGCTCCATCAGGGCAGGGCTAGGATGACCACCAGCCACACCATCCTCCGGGACTGGCCTGGAGCCTGGCTCATGGGGGCACCCAGTGAATGAGTACGTTTGAACGAGCACATGAATGAAGCCAAAGGGGGTGACTGTCTTGACAAGAGCCACCCTTGGGGGAAGGAAAGGGCATGGGAACACGGAGGAGGAGCCTCTCCAAAACTAGGTTGGGGATCAGGGGAGGGCTGGGGAAACAAGGAGGGCTTCCTGGAGGAGGTGGCATCTAGCTGAACCCTGAAGGAAGAAAAGGAGTTAGGTCGGTGGGTGGAAGAGGAGCAGGGGCAGTGGGTGCCTCGGGTTGAGGGAGCAGCCTATGCAGAGCTGATGTGGTGGGGCCGGGTGGAGGGGGGGAGCTAAGGTGTTCAGTTTCCGGCTGGAGCAAGCTGTCTAGACGGTGTGGAGCCCTGGACGGAGGTGCTGCCCCGGGGCCCCAGGCAGATGTGGAGGGAGGAGTCCCGGGGGTTGTCAGCACTGCAGGGATGGGCTAAGGAATTCTCTCCCCCATCTCGCCAACAGCATGGCGCCCTTCCTTACAGGGGGTGGGGGCTCTGCTGGTCCCCCTGCGCCTCACCCCTGACCCCATTCTCCTCTGGTGCCAAGGAGGAGATTCAGGAGTTCCCTGTGGAATCTGAGCGTCCACAGAAGAAGCTGTTTGCTCTGTTGTACTTCCTCACGGTAGGATGCGAGGTGCAAGGTGCAAGAGGAATTGCTACTTCACGTATCACGTGTGTGCTGCGAGGTGCAGAGGAATTGCTACTTTATGTATCGCTGAGAAAGACAGCTGTCAGTTACAACTCCAGGGACCCTCCCCCCTCCCCCCCACGCCTGCGTGGGAGATGTTAAAAAAATGAAAAAGATACATCCTAGCATCTGTGACATACAGAAGTAACACTCTGGGTGGAAAATAAAAAACCAAACACCTCCAGATGCTCCGTGCACTGATCACGGGGCAGTAAAAGCTGCTAATATTTATTGCACACGCACCACGCGCCAGGCACGGCGCCAAGTGCTTTCATGTACTAACTCATTTAGAGATGCATCTCAAATGCAGAAAGTTGAACATGTGTGTGTGTGTGGGGGGTGGAATTCAGTCATAGAAGGTGTGTGGCCCTGAGAGGGGGCAGGAGGCTGAGTGGGGGGCGCCGTCCAGCCTGAGCTTGCCTCCCATCGCTGTGTGACTGTGGGCACGCCCACTGCTCTCTCTGGGCCTCACTTGCCCCATGCGTCAAATGCTCCCGGGCCTCTCTGCCAGCTCCCTTTGGGCTGTGAGTCATCCGGCCCCGCGCGTCCGGGTGTGTGCTGGGTGTGCTGTGCTTCCTTTACTGACAAGCTGCCACTCTGTTCTAGCTTCCTTTGTCATTAGCGCCCACCCCCCCTCCCCGGGGTCCTGAGCCCGGTTGGCATCTCCTCCGCCTTTCCCTGCTTTGGGGCACAGCTGCCCCGCTGCCCCAGCCCTCGCCTGGGAAGGAGGTCGGTCCCTTTCTCCAGGGTCCCCAGGGGTGTTCAGCCTGTTAGCCCGCTCTACGGAGACGGGGAGGAGGGAAGAGGGGAGGCGCTGCGGGGTAGGGGTCACCTGGCGCCCCCGGGACTCACGCACGGCAGCCTCGTGGGCCTGCTCTGGGGACTCGGGATGTGGGTGCTCCGGCTCGAAAGGGACCTTTAGTGACGCGCACTCACTCCGCTGTGATAGTGTGACAATTCTTAGCATCGCTGCTGTCGCCGTTACAGCTCTCTCTTCCTGAGTCTCCACGGCAGGCACCCACGTGTGGGGCAGGGCGAGTCATTATTGCCTCCACTTTACAGGTGAGGACATCCGGGCTCAGCGAGGTGAGGTCCCTCACCCAGGGTCCCCCCGCCCGGCAATGGCAGCCCGGGGGCCTGAGGCCATGGGAGCCTTCAGCTGCAGCCCATACCAACCCAGGAGGGCTCCGGGGTGGAGGTGTGCCTGGCCCGTGCAGGCAACCATGAGCAGGGCAGGGGCAGCAAGGGAAGGGTGCCTCTTTCTCCATCGGTCTCCATGCCTCTCTGCCTCAGTTTCTCTTTTCGTCCTCTCCATCTCCGGGGCCCTGCATCTCTCACTCATTCGCTCTTGCAGTTTTGTCTGTCTCCCCTCCGGGCTTCTGTCTGTCATCTCTGCCTCTCTGTAGGACTCCCTCTCCCCTGTCCCCGAGAAGGGGGTCCTCTGAGTCTTGCCCGAGGCCAGAGGCCCCGTCCTGAGGCTGCCTGGGCCCCCCCCCCCCCACTGGGCAGAGCTGGAAACTCGGTTCTGCCCCTGATGCCGCCCCTTCTCTCTCCTGTCCGTCTGTCTGTCCGTCTCTGTGTCTGTGCGCGCGGGGCCGGCCGGCAGTGGCCCGGCTGCGGCTACGTGCTGTGCACCGTGCTGCTGTCCCTGGCCGTGCTGCTGGCCGTGGCTGTGACCGGCGCCGTGCTCTTCCTGAACCACCCCCACGCGCCAGGCACGGCGCCCCCGCCCATCGTCAGCACCGGGCCCGCAGGCGTCAACAGCGCGCTGGTCACCGTGGAGAGGGCCGACAGCTCGCGCCTCACCATCCTCATTGACCCGCGCTGCCCCGACCTCGCCGACGGCTTCGCCCGCCTGGAGGGCGCCCAGGCCTCGGTGCTGCGGGCGCTGGCAGAGCACCGGGCCGAGCCGGGGCCGGCGGGCGAGCAGGAGCGGGAGCTTCTGGACACGCTGGTGGACCAGCTGCCCCGGCTGCTGGCCCGGGCCTCCGAGCTGCAGGTGGAGTGCGCCGGGCTGCGGAAGGGCCTCGGCGCGCTGGGCCAGGGGCTGGGCGCCCTGCAGAGCGAGCAGGGCCGTCTCATCCAGGTAAGCGGCGCGCCTGCGCCCGGGGCCTTGCTGGGGCTTGGGGTGGCCGCCACCGTGTCCCGCCCAGTGCTGATGTCCACGGCCTCACGTAATCCCCAGGAGCCCCGGGAGCTACTCCCACCTGCTGTCCAGCACACGAGCCTCAGAGAGGGGACTCTTTCATCCAAGTCCACACAGCTAGAGGCATCAGGATCAAACCGCTTCCTACCCGCTGTCCTGGTGACCCTGGCTGTCGGTGTCGCTGTGGCACCAACAGTCAGGCCAAGTCCAGGCCTTGAGGGGCTTCCCAGGTGCAGGTGAGGCAGGACCGGGCCGCCATCGGTAGTGGATGGAGGTTCAAGGTCACGGGGCTGGTCAGTGGCAGGCCTCTTCCCAGCTGGGCCACGTGGCCAGAGAGAGCTGTACCCTCTTCCCAGCGCCCTGTCCCCCGTTCACTGCCATGTGATGTTCCCAGCTTTCTAAGGAAGGAGGGACCAGCTGATGGAGCCCCCCCAGACCCTCAGCCTGTCCCCCATCCCTCCCTGCCCCTGTCCCCTCCGCACCCCTGAGTCAGGTCCCAGCAAGCAGCTGGTAGATCTGGGGGCAGGGCTTCCAACCTTGACCGTTGCTGAAGCACCAGCAGGAACTCCCCTCCTAGATCCCCTCATAGGGTCAGGGGCTTAGGACCATCTCCTTGGTTTTCCACCATTTTCCAGAAAAGAAAACTAAGACCCAGAAGGGGACAGTGCCAGGGTACAGTGGCCAAGTCAGGCCCGGCATCTGGCCTCCAGCCGTCCCGCCCACCCACCCACCCTCCGGCTTTGTACCCCATCCCCCCTGTGACTCAGGTCCTGAGGGGCTAGGAGGCAAGCCCCCCCCCCCCCGCCATTGGTCCGAGCCCCTTCCGGACTCCCCCCGCCCCGCCCCCCGCCCGGGATGACCAGGCATTCGCTAAGCCCGCAGCTCGTAAGCAATGGGTCTTTTCCGTCCTCTGAAGGCTGCAGCTGGAGGATTATAGCCCTCGTCATCCTGTCTGGGTGACTGATGGGAAGGCGCTGCCCCCTCCCAGCCCAGGGTGGGAGGTAGGGTGTCCAGCTGCCCCCTCCATCAATCTGGGTCTCCTCAGTCTGGGGAGACCTCCAGATTTTCTGGGTGACCTGGACCTCCCCACTTTGCTCTCCACGTGGCTGAGCTCCTGGTCAGCCAGGCCCTTAGGGCAGGGGTGGGGCTTGGGGGGAAGGGGTCTCAGGGTCTTCTACCCACCCACCTATGCAGAGGCCTAGAGCTGTTCCTGCAAGACAAATAGCTTTGGGGGGACCCCGTAGTGCCTTGGCTCACCTGAGAGATTTACTTCTCAAAAGAATGTTTAATTTGACTCATTTCCTGCAGACTCGGGGTGATTTCAGAGACCATGTGTCATGCACGCCCTGTGTGGCTGTGGCTCCTGGCTCCTCCTGTCCAAGCTTCCCAGACCCCAGGGGATCGGCCCAGACCTGGGTTTCCCAAAGCACCGCCCACAAGCACCCTCAGAAGTGCCGGAGCCGCTTGCTAAAAGGCACCCTCTGCGGGGCGCCTGGGAGGTTCAGTCGGTTGAGCGTCCGACTTTGGCTCAGCTCATGGTCTCATGGTCTGTGGGTTCGAGCCCCGCACTGGGCTCTGTGCTGACAGCCCGGAGCCTGGAGCTGCTTCCGATTCGGTGTCTCCCTCTCCCTCTCCCTCTCCCCCTCCCCTGCTCACACTCTGTGTCTCTCTCTCTCTGGAAAATCAATGAAAATTAAAAAGAAAGAAAGAAAGAAAATCCCTTTGCAAGCATAGCAGTAGGAACCGCTAAGTGCTGGTTGACAACAAGCACTTGGCAGCATCGTAGCCCCAGGAGGTGGAGATCACGGACCCATTCTGCAGAGGGGCAGACTGAGGCTCAGAGAAGCAGAGGGCCTTGTTCCAGTTCAGCCACATGACTGAGAAGTGCTCAGAGCAGCGCCTCTGACTTCACTGCCTTGAAGAGCCGCCAGCCAGTCCTCTTTAATGCATCTGTGCAGCTCAGCGAGCGGGGACTGCCTTTCCCTATTAATTCGGGGCATGTTTATATGTACATTTTCGACTCTTTAATCATTTGCTGGTTTAAACTGAGGTCTTCCCTGCCCGCCAGCAAGAGCGGGCTGCGCTTGAGTTTCTCGAGCGTGTCCGTTTGTCCCTGAAGGGTGGGCAGCACCCTGGGGACTTCACCAGTGAGCCTGGTGATCGCCCACACCCTGCCCGTGGCCCCTGCCCCCTGCCCGCCAGGGGGCTGCCGGCATCTGGGGCTCCCCCCCCGCCCACCAGGACCGTGTCTGCAGGAGACTACAGTAAACACCCAGGGAGAGATGGGCCGCCTTGCCCCGGGGCCCCCCCTGCCCATCTCTGCGCCTCACCCCCAGGCCTCAGCCTTCCCTGGAGAGGAGAAGCTGGCAAGGAATGTAAAAGCTTTCTTTGCAGGGGCCCTTGCTTCTGGACGAAACGAGAAGCCTATTTTGTAAACTGCTGGCGCTGTGTATTTCTATTTTCCTTCCTCGAACGAGCTATTATCTGGCAAGTGACAGGTTCGGTGGGTGTGTGAAGGCCGGGCAGGCTCCACGTGCACTTGCTGGCCGGCTGTGCCCTTGACCCTGCCTCCTCCCCTTCCCCGGGGCCCTGCAGCTTCCTAGAGCCCAGCCTGGGTGGGGAGGCGCCAGACCTCAGACACTTGAGCCAGGAGGCACAGCTCAGAGGTCCCCGGGGTGGGCAGGGGGAGAGGCTGAGAGCTGCACTGGCTGAGATACAAGCCCCCAGACCCGGATCTCAGGAAGGGTGGCCATTGGGAAGCACTGGGAGTGACACAGGGGACTGAGCACTTGGGGCTCGGACATGTGCTCTCGTGAACCGCCCCCACACCCACCCTGGAAAACTGGGTCCCGTTACTCTGGCTTACAAAGGGGTCACTTCCCTACTGGGCGGAGGAAGGTCTGAGTCCAAACCCACAACCGACACCGGAGCCTGGGCCCACACCCCTGCCCCTGCTGTCCTGCCCCCATCCCGGGTCCCTGTGTGCCCTTCCTGCCAGGCAACCCTGGGGAAGCGGCCTGAGGCCATTCTCCATCAGGGACCGGGCCTCCGGGCCTCAGTTTCCCCATTTGTAACCAGGGGACAGCAACTCCAGTCCTTCCTCCTGGCAAGGCTGTGGGGGCGAGGTGAGGCGGTGGACATTGGAGCTGTGACCCAAGAAAGTGGGGTTTGCATGGGGGCTGGGGGAGTGGGGGGTACCCAGGGCCCCTTCCTGTTTGCAGAACCATCACCCTTGCCTCAGTGGCCTCGCCGGGGGGACCTGGGGAGACTCTGGGTGAGGGTGTCTTGTATCCTGAAAGGTGCCTTACAGATCCGTGTAAGGAGGCGGGCCGGGCTGCGGGCCCCCTTCAAGGCCTGGTTAAGTCCCTCACCCACGTGTAACTGGTACATGGGTGAGCTGGGATTTGAACCCGGCACCAGGTGCCCCCCTGGGCTCTCTTTTTTTTTCTTTAATGTTTTATTTATTTCTGAGAGAGAGAGAGAGAGAGAGAGAGAGAGAGACAGCGGGAGCAGGGAAGGGTCGGAAAGAGATGGAGACACAGAATCTGAAGCAGGCTCCAGGCTCTAAACTGTCAGCACAGAGCCTGACACGGGGCTCGAACCCATGAACCGTGAGATCATGACCTGAGCTGAAGTCTAACTGACTGAGCCCCCCAGGCGCCCCCTGGGCTCTTTTCTCCAATCACCTCACCCGGGCCAAGGCACAGAAATGGATGACGGGGCCTGGGGCACATCAGGGGCAAGGGTCTCTGCTCTGTCCCCTCTGTCCCTTCCCACCTGAGCCCCCATGCTCTGAGACCTCCTCAGATTGGAGCCAGAGCAGGGCAGGGACTGGCATCGTACGAGGGGGTGTGGCGGGTCCTGGCAGGTGCCCCCTGTGCTCCACAGCTTCTCTCCGAGAGTCAAGGCCACATGGCTCACCTGGTGAACTCGGTCAGTGATGTATTAGATGCCCTGCAGAGGGGCCGGCCCCGCGTCAAGGCTGACCTTCAGAGGGCACCTGCCAGGGGGCTGCGGCCCCGGGGCTGCACCAGCGGTGAGTGGGGTGCCCAGTCCCATACCGCCCTCGCCCCTCGCCCACCCCTGATAAGGAACCACGGCTGCTGTTTGCTGAGGACTTCCTGCCGCCAGGCAGCCCTGAGCACGCTCCCTGCGCCCTTCTATTGAACCCTCTCCCAGCCCACTGTGCCCATTTTCCAGATGAGGAAGGCAAGGCTCAGGGAGTGGCAGAGCCAAGGTCGGCCCCCAAGGCTGGGGCCCTGGAGCCCGTATGACACTGCAGGGTAGACGGACAAATCAGGGAGACCCAGGGACGGGGGGTGGGGGGGTGGGGACACAGGTGGCCGCGCACAGCCTTGACTGCATTCCCTGCCCCAGGCTCTGCGCCACGTGACTGTCTGGACGTGCTCCTCAGCGGGCAGCAGGAGGACGGCGTTTACTCAGTCTTCCCCACACACTACCCTGCCGGCTTCCAGGTCTACTGTGACATGCGCACAGACGGCGGCGGCTGGACGGTGAGTCTCCTGGCGGCGCGGCCAGTTTCCTCTCGGTCCTTTAGACACCCAGGCAGGCCAGGGTGACCAGGGGGCTGCGCCCACGAACCCGGGGACTCTGAGCAGCCTCTCACCCAGCCCTCTGGCCCCCACGAACCTGCCTCAAATCTCACCCAAGAACTCCACACCCCCAGAAGCCTGCACAGGGCAAGCGGAGGCCATGCACTGACCCCGAGGCCCCGGCGGGAGCGGATGTTAGACCCCGTCTCCCGTGGCTCCTGCTCCCCGATCCTCGAGCCTCTGGGAACAGGGTGCCTGCCCTGGGAGTGTCGGGGAAATTGGGGATGGGTTCTGTGATGAAACGGGGCACCTGTCGCTCATGTGAGTTCAAGGGCATGTGTAGATGCTGTCCTGAATTACCCAATATGGGATGTATTGCCCTCTGCAGAGGGCAGAGACCCCAGGGGCTTCCTGGCAAACAACTGTTGTGACTTCCGTGGCTTCCTGCACCTTCTGGTTCCTGCCCGGGCGGGAAGTAGGAGCCAGGAAAGGTCCCCACGGCCAGTGGAGGGTGGGGAGGCGTGGCGATAGGTGGCCCTGAAATCTACACGGAGCTGGGAGAAGGGGGCGGAGTGGTGGGGAGAGGCCTCTGGCTAGGCCCCCGGGGAGTCTCCAGATCCACAGGGGGGCCACCCCTTCAAGAGCGGGGTCTCCCACAGCCTCTGCTGCACCCACTGACCCTGCCTCGGTAGGGGCCCCAGGGCCACAGGCCACACGGAATTGCCTGGGCGTGGCTGGATCTCAGTAACACTGATGTATCCTTCAACTATTATTCAAAAGATATTTTAAGATATTCATCTTTTGTTTTTTAAAAACCATTTACAAACGTTCCAACCATTCTTGGCTCACAAGCCTGATAAAAACAGGCTCCAGGCAGGCGTTATCCTGGGGGCTCAGTCTTGGGGGCTGGGCTTCAACAGGGCTGCCTCTGGCCATTGGATGACTTTGTATAAATTAAAAATGCATGTCCTTTCCTTTTGGCACATGGGCTTGGCAAGAAGAGTAGATGTGAGCCACGCTTCTTGACCAGGTGCCCTAGAGCAATGAACAACCTATAACACTGTCCCTGGACGTCGGCATGCCACCCTGAAAGCTGCTCGGCCCCCCCAGGTTGGCGGTGGTTGGGATACCCAGTGACTCCAGTATCCACAGACGGACCTGGGTGTGGCTCTCGGTCCTGCTGTGTGATCTTGGGGAAAGTACTTAAGTTCTCTGAGCCTCAGCATTCTTAGCTGTAAAATGGGGATACACACTTGCCTCACTTAGAGGTCTTAACTGCAAGCAACAGAAAGTGGCTGATTTAAGTAGGAAAGGAATGTACTGGAAGGAGGCTGGGAGGCCGGAGAAACCGGCTCAGGGCCAGGCAGCCAGGAACGGGGTCCCCCAGAGCTGGCCAGGGGTGACCTGCGTGGGAACTCCATGACCCCAGCGCTGCTGGCACAGGGCCCTGGGCACAGCTACTACTGGGCACGCCCCCCCGCCCCCCCGCCAGGATGGGCGCGGGCCTGGGGTGCAGTCTGAGCTTCCTTTGCAGGAGACCCTTAGCGTCCCTGCCTCTTTGCTTCCCCAGCCATTGAGCCAGTGGGTATTCTGCTGGTGGGCCCCGGGGCCATGTGCTTACGACCCTCGCCGCCAGGGAGGCTGAGACAGCCAATGCCTGGAGCCTTTAGCTGCTATGGTGGGAGTCATCCCTGCCTCCCGCCAAATCTCAGAAGATGGGGAAGGACAGCCAGCCAGGAAGACACGTGTCCACGTTAGTACTTCACAGACTGACCGTGTACAAGGCCCTGGCCACCCAGAGATGAGAGAGATATGTATGACCCCGCCTCTTACCGAGCTCTTCGCCAAGAGGGCGTCCACCATAGTCCAGGGGACAGTCGTGGGGACCCAAAGCAGGCTGCGTGGTCAGCTATTTTCTTGGGGTGCCCAGGTGGGCTCCCAGGCACCTGGGGCCTGAGGGAGAGGCTGGCAGGATGCCTCCATTTCTCACCAAGAGGCTTGGTGCCATCTTTGGTGGGCTGACGTCCAGGCAGGGGGGAGGGAGAGGGGTCAGCGATCCTGAGCCGGCCCGGGGTGGGGGAGGGGCGCGACATGAGAGGCCGGAATGAGGCTGGTGGGCAGGGGGCAAGGCGAGTGCATTGACGAGGGCAGGGCTGGTGTGAGAGCAGCGGAGGGTCCCCCAAAGACCCAGGGGACAGACATACCCACAAACCTCTCTTCAAGCTCCGGAGGGGTATATTTACGCATCCTGGATCCGCATCTGTGGGCTAAAAGCTCTTGTTTTTAGAACATCTGAGTTATGGCGTGCGCCTCTGGGAACCCCTGGGCAGGCAGAGCAGCGCCGATGCGGCAGCGAGAGCCCAGAAATCAGAGTTAAGGGTGAGGACAGGCTTTAATGAAAGACCAAGGCGGCCAGCCCGGGCTCGGCGTCTTCCACTCGGGGGGACGGGAAGCCAATCTCCCGGGAAGGCAATCAGGATTTGGGCCGGGAGGCGGGTGACACCCAGGGCCCGGGCTTCAGGGACCATTACAGGGGACTCGATGAGGAACGCCAGCCCCTGTCCCCGCCCCAACCCTCCTGCTCAGACACCTGGATCGGGGGGCCCCCGCAAAAAAGGCCGCTCTCGGCTGAGAAGTGCTCGTGAGCCCAATAAACGTTAATATCCATTTGGGCTTCCGTCAAAAGCAATCTTTGCCCAGATACCTCTGGGCATCTGTCAGGATCACCTCCCTGCCACATGGAATCTCTCGGAAACTCAATTGTTGTTTGGGAAGGAGCTGGCGGCCGTCTCTCTGAACCCTGGTACAATCTGTCCTCATTAGGCCCCGTGTCTAAGCTGCCAGGCCTCAAGTGCGGACACCGGATAGCTCTCCCTGGCGGACGGGGCACCCGGGGCTGGACGATCCGGCCACAGCCTGCTTCCTGGGGAGCCTGGACCGGGCGGGCATGGGGCTCGGCAGCCCCGCCCGCCTATGGGGCGCTTCAGTTTCTAGGCCGATGTCCTGCCTGGTACCCCCACACCCTTGGAGGCTGGCAGCGCAGCCGCAGAGAAGGCAGAGATCTGTCCAAGGCCACCTAGCAAATGAGCAGCCGCCTGGGGCCGCACCCTGACGTCCTGCGGGCCCGACTCACGTGTGTCTGTGGAACTCACTGTCACACGGTGACACTCGTTTATTCAACAGCCGAGCACCAACCACAGGCCAGAGGATTCCACAGCAAGATCCTGGCCTGGGGGGGGGGGGGGGGGGGGGGGCTGGGCGAATCAGCTGACTTGTGTGAGGACAGTAGGGCTGGGGGCAGGGGTGCGGGGGAGCCTGGAGGAGAGCCCCCGACTCAGCCTGGGGAGGCTTCTGCATGGGGAGGTCCTCGCGCCAGGGGATGAGGTGAAACTGTTCCAGGCAAATCGAACACACGCTCGGAGTTCTGCGCAGGGGTGGCAGGGCTCTGTCTGGGTCGCGGGGGCTGTCGGGGCCGGGGACCAGAGGAGGGAGGCTTTGTCCGGAGGGTAGATTGGGCTCCTGCTGCCCTGCGGATTTCCCCAGGTGGGGAGTGACCCAGAGACCCAGGGCCATGGGCAAGAGAGGCCACATGAGGCGCCTGGGAGGCGAGGAGGCCACACAGGCAGATGGACACAGGCCACAAGGTGACTTTAGGCTGCTGTGGCCAGTGGCCCTGACTGACCCCGAGCCTTCTCCCCATGTTCATCAAAGCCCATAGTGGCCCAGGGCACATAGGGTCATGCTGATGCTCAGGGCTGCTCTTGAACTTAACACGTGTCCCCACCCCCGCCCCCGCCCCTGAAAAGGAAGAGGAGGGAAGGCGGGAGGGGAGGGCCGCCTCCTGCTGACCGGTGACTCCAGGCCAGGGGCCCAGCTTGGCTGCCGTGAGCTTTGGGAGGCCTCCCTGACCAGCCGGTCCGCCCGTCATGCTCCTTGTACAGGCATGATGCCGGTTCCCTGCCCGTCGGCGCCCTGGCCAGGTCTGAGCTCCTCGGGGCAGTGCCCCGTCCCCTGGTGACCACTGCGGCTCAGGGGGCCACGTGGTGTTTGCACGCCATCCGTGTTCCCCCATCACTGGTCTCATGAGTGACTGCTCGCACCGCAGGCAGTGACGCGTCACCTCACCGAGCCTTACTTTCTCATCTGCTCAACAAGGCTAATGTAGCGCCGTTGCTGTGGGGAGAGAGGCAGAAGGCTTGGCAGGCAGTGGCCTGTGAGGGAGGAGCGGGCTGAGCCTCGAGGGCCCCCGGTGAACAGAGGAGCCGCTCCCTCCTGTGCGGTCTTACGGTCAGTGTGTTTACAGGGGAGGGAGATGCGTCACAATAGGGGCCAAATTTCCCCATTTGGAAGGTGATGAGTGGAACCACGCTGGCTGTTTCCGGCTCCCCGCCTGTCCCCCGCCACCGGCCGTGTCAGACTGGGAGGGTCACATCCCCTCTTGGGCGCCCCCTTCCTGGCCAGCCACCGGGGCAGCCCTTGTATCTCGTGTGGCTGCCTTGCAGGGCCTGGGGGACGGGGTGGCCATGCCCAGGACCTGGTGTGGGCTTGGGGTGCTCAGAAGGAGGGCCCCCCCACTTCCCTGCCTCTCTGCCCTGACACACGCCTTGCCCCCACCGAGCGCTGCCCGTGGTCCTGATCGCCAAGCCCTTCCTCGCCTTCGCATAATCAGCGCCAGGGGTCACCGAGATCGGGTCCAGTTCCCCGTCTCCTGCCGCAGGCACCCACCAAGGGATCGATCCTGCTCTGCGCTCCCACTGGGATTCGCAGCGCGGCCAGCTGCCGCCGCCGCTGTGAGAGGAGTGGCCCAAACCCCGTTCTGCACGGTGACCACGTTCTCTGCCAGGCGCTCTCCTGTCGTGCGAGGTCAGCGGCTCAGATATGCTGCTAATTGGCTTTGCTGTGAGAGAAACTCTCCCCTCCCCACCTGAGCTCCCCAGGCAGGGAGGAAAATCCTTCCCGCA